AGCACTACTCTTTTCTATCAAATTATTGAGCAAACAGCTGGACTGAAAGTAAGGAAGTTTTGATAGACAATCACTAGTGGGTTTGTATTAAGAAACAATTTCTTCTCCTCATCCCAAGATCTATTTCCTTTAAAAAAATTCATAAATGGACTGTCCTCCAAGCATTTTGTTTAAAAGCAAAATACCATCAGGAAAGGCAGACAATCTACTGGCTGGTCAGCACAAAGTGCTAAGGAATTGGCCACAACTGCTGATGGCAAAATTGAGAGCTTTAACATCAGAGTACAAGTATACTTTGACTTACTGAGGCAGCGTGGGGATTTCAAAAGAACACAGCATTCCCCTCATTGCTCCCAGTGCAGCAGAGAACTGTTTTGCCATTTTCTCTTTTGGGAACCGAGGGTTCTTAAATATTACAGCCATAAAAGATTAAAATCCCACCTCTCTACTCAGCCAGACTCAGCTGCAGACTGGTTTGTCAGGGCTTCCATCCAGCAGCAAGGTGCAGAGCTCTACAGACTCAAGGAGGTCACCATCCCAGCCTCCCACACTACTGAGATCCTGCTTACCCATCAGCTGATGAATTGCTGTAGTTTTGAGGTCAAGAGTTACAAGGCAAGTGAACAGCAGTGAAGATTTACTTCAAAACATCACGCTGTAAAACAAGTGGTTCAGCAGCTGACTCAGGGTGGCTTAGATGTCCAGGAATGGGGCGTGAGTTAAGGTGGACAGATGAGACCTGGGATGACATCCATGCTATGCTATCCCCACTAGTGAATCAGAACTCTGACATGAGCTCTGTAGTTCTGTATCTACAGAGTTCTGTACTCTGCATCATATCTGTAGCATGCTTTGTGCTTCCTGCATACTTCAAACCAAAGAAACAGAAATTTGATGTTATCAACAGAAATGGAAGCAGTTTCCTCAGCACCATCATCAGGAGAGTATCACTGAATTCATTGTGGCATTAGACTTTCACTAACCTTGAGGAATATGATCAATTTTCTGTGACAGGGATGTGTGAATCTCTGGAGTCCTAACCCACCTCAGGAGATCAAAGCCAAAGGATACACCTTCTCTATCTGCATGGTCGGTAGCTAAGTGTGGGTCCAAACTATTTCAGATAACCAGCTTCATCAGGAACTCCTCACATCCAAAGTCAACAGCAAAAGCATTATTTCAGTGCTTAGACCTGGCAGCTGGTAGTTTGGATCTGCTTCTGACTCTGCTAAAAGCTCCTCATGTGGCTTTAGTCAAGTCACTCAGTTTCTCATTACCACATTCCTCCGTTTGACAGTACAAAGAGGGATAAGTGTGGGGTTGTTTCCTTTCATTAAGCACCAAGATCTTTTTTCAAAAGGGGTACAGAAGGTGTATCACATTATAATAATGCCAGAAACACAGTAGTAGCCTTAAGCATGAAGCCTTCTTGACACAGTTCCTTCTTCAACCTCAAAGCAAGACAGCTTCTGAATCCCAAAACTGTTGCTCTCTGCAAAAACCCATGCTTGTCCTTTTGGTGAAACCTACAATATGTTTCAGAAGAAAGCACCATTCCCTTTTGTAATCATAACAGGCAGCCAAGTTATAATTTACAACAGCAACCGGCAGTAGTGTCAAATAAGAGTACTTAATTTCATTTAATTGCTTCTACCTAAAACCTCATTGCCAAAGGTCTCTTTTCTACTTAGACACTGCAGAAAAAATGCTGGGTTTAAGGGCAAACAATTCACATAATCTATGTTATTCCATTTGCTGAGACTTTCTGTTTACATAAACAGTACAGAATTTTTACTGACATTTAGACATAGAGCAGTTTGAAAGCAGTATATTTACAGTTTCTGCAGTAGAATTACTTCACTTAAAAACCCACCACAACAAAAAAAATACACTTTCCACTGTTTAGGTTGAAGATAAAAACTGGATGGTCCCACTCTGGCAGTTAAAAAAGGAAATACATCTCTTTATCTGCATCAGTTATACTTGGCTCACACGCATTTATATCTAGGTTGAGTATCAGTCAGTGGTTTCTGTGCTGGAGCTAGGTCTGAGGTACAGAGGACTCATAAAACAGCTGTCTCTTATCAGCTTGACTGACTCCTCGGGAAATCAAAGAGAAACTCATTATAGCCAAAATGACTGAAAAGAGTTTTTTTCCTAGTCTAGGCAGGCCACAGCAGAAATTCTCCACTCACATGCTGTATCTGCTGGTTTGTGCCAGCCTTTAATACCCAGCAGTTCCCATGTTGGACTGAGTGTGGACCCTTGGGCTCTGCAATCCATGGTCAAAGGCTCCGTGCCCTGAAACAATCACACCTATGAAGTCAGCACAGAGTAGGCATGGTATTGAGCAAAGGCACACGAATTTGGGTTGTGAAAAGATCGTTACAAACACGACCTAATAGTGTCTGAATCCCTGCAGGATGTTTAAGGGAGGATCAACTCGCAGTCCTGATGGACAAATACTGTCAGTTCAGCACACTACACTCATGCAGAAAGCACCTGGCCTTCATATCAATGAGAGCAATTATCTCAGAGAACACCCCACTCCCCAATCTGACTCAAGCATATTTATCCTCTGTCTTATTCCTCATGAGTCTGAACATCTCATTGTGCTGGCTGATGCAGACCCTCAGCTCCCAGGTTCATGTCTCTATCAGCATGTTAACTAGTATTTCTGGCCCTTTTTTACAGATGTGACAAGACACAAGCAGAGTACTTGGCCTCATGGGAGGGGCAGGTGACCTGGGGAACATTTTACTCTGGGGAGAAGATGCATTTTAACAAATCAAAACCAAAAGAGTCAGAATGCATGGACCTGAGTCATGCAGTGCTATCCTAGAACCGCCTAGGAAGAGTGAGCTGGATTGTTGCAATGATCCTGCACATTTTCCAGTTAAAAATACAGTCATACTAAATACCATCCATTCATGTTCCTCAGTATAGTGATTCAGGCTTTTTAATAGTATTTCTTACGGCACCTAGAATAGAAGAGAAATTAGCAAGAGCTTTCAACTAGAGTCTTTGCCTCCTGTTTGTAAATTTGTATTGTCATTGCTGCAGCTACAAAATGCTTTCTGGAACTTTTGTTTACAAGCTCATTTTCTAGCAAAGTGTTTATTGAATAATGTGGCTCAGTCTCTCACACTCATGCCAAGCAAAGGGCGCTTGTCAGTGCTTGCATATACCCCTATATATCTACTAATATTTTGGATATGTGCAATCACAAATTCTGCCGCCTCCGCTGAAATGCAGGCATCCTGTTCCACCCACCTCTAGTACCTATCATAACACCAGACCCTTACAGTGATGTAGCACAAACTGGCAATATGATCCACACATAGCTCCTTCCGGTCTTCACTCCAAGAAAAACTCACTTTTTAACTATGCTGTTACAAAAATAAAATCCCATGCTGTCAGTTTTTTCAGTTCTTATTCCTTCACTGATGATGCTCCAGCATTGAACTGTGCCTGTCATTTCTGACACAGAGTGACAGCAGCTTACCCCGCAGACCATGAACAGGTATGGTGACTCTGCATTCCCTAAGGACTGTTTAGATAACTCATACATCTGGGGCAGAGGTATCAACACAGTGTGCTCTCCTCAAAAATCTCCGCAGAAAAAAACATGAAGAACGTAAACCAGAGGTGATTCATTGTACCACACAAAAAAGCAGTTTACTCCATGTGTGGCACCACTGTGAGCTTAACTCTCGCTAAACCAGTACTTCCTTTCCTCTTCTACAAAGATTTAACAAAATCTACAGTGCCCCTGTTTCGGTCCTGACTGTTTAAAGGATAAAAAAATACTCCCATTGCATTACCCAAAATCAGAGCTAGGTCTTACCTATTAGTTGTCTCTACCACAGTTCACCAGTTAGCTACTTGTCTAGAGTACATTTAGCTTTGATTTTCAACTGATTACTAGCTTCTGTCAAAGGCATCTCATTTGGAAGCTGTAAGATAAGCATGAGGAACCCATAACTGAAAAAGCTATTGTCAGCTTTCAAAATACAGAGACAACCTAGAGATGTGCCCAAGTCCAACTTCCCATAGACAGCATGTTATCTCAGCCCACCATGGCTGTAATCTCACTGAAAGCAACCCCCTCAACATTCCTCACTTAGAAGGAGAACTGCCTGAGGTACAGAGTGCTTCTTTGCTCCTGGCCCTTTTGATTTTTCAGGCCATTCTTGCCTTTTGAAGGGAGTCAGCCCTCCTCAGCTCTATTGAGGGGAACTCCGCTGAAAGAGTTCCTCATCCCTCAGTGCTATATTTAGCTTAACACACAGGCAGCCAGGGAGGCACTGCTTGTTAGTTCACAGTCTGGACTTAGCACAACATCGGAGATGTAGCTGACAAGCAACACACTGGTTTTGGGTCACTTAACATCCATGATTCTCCTTCTACCCCTGAACTGCTGCCACCTCACACAGCACAGGAACCTCAAGTTTCACCACAGTCACACACAGCAGATGCCCAGCAAAAGACAAACCCATTAACATCCTTAGGTGACACCACACCAAACACACACACACCACATCCTGCCCACACACCCATTTAACGCATCCCTACAACCAGAATCTGGTAAATTAGTGCTTTTTCATCCTTCGCATCCAAGAAAATGAGCCATCAGTTGAACCGACGAGCTTAAGGAAAAACCGGGAAAGCTTCTCCAAGGATTACAGTCACAGAAAGATCACATCGTGTAGTTTTAGGACCCTGTTCCATCTTACTACAAGGAAGGGGACAGGGAGAAGGATCCAATCCCTTGCACCGCCGGCTGCTTTTTCCGCTGGGTTGAAGTCTCTCTTCCCTCCCCAGTATGCTGATCCCTCAGAAAAGAGCAGCCCTGGCTGTACAGAACTGGTTAGCCAGGAAGGAGATTAAACCTCAGGAAAAAAAAGAGACCATCCTGCCGGGGCTGGCAAGAGCACCGACGGATGGAGGGATGGACGGACAAGGCGCAGGTTCGGGTATCGCAGAGTCACGGATTGTACCTGGAAGTGGCCGCAGGCGCTCTCGTTCCCAGACACTGCGCTATCGCTCTCACGCACTCATGGCCCACAGCACAGCGTAGCACACCACCTCTCGCCTCGGCTCCCCACGGGAATCTCCCGGCAGCAGGCGGAGCGCCGGGAAGCGCCGCTCCCTCGCCCCACCCGCGCCGCAGCGCCGATGCCGCCGAAGGAGGCGGAGCGCGGTCCCGGCCCGCCCGGAGCCGGCCCTCGGGAAGGCAGGGGGTGAGGAACATCGGCGGGCGGGTGTCGGAGGTCCAGGTGAGAGGCTTGACCTGAACTAGTGTGTTCCTGGCCGCTGCATCATTCCGCTGGCAGCGGTCGGAAGAGGATGCTTACCGAAAGGCAGGAACGGGACACACATGCACAATGCCTCTTCTGAGCAGTCTCTCAGGTTATATTTCCAGCACAGTAGAAACATTTGGATTTCCTCGGATTTCCTCAGCTCGGTGCTGTTTCTTCAGGAGGTCTCTCTTTCCGGTAGTCATCTAGTTCCCCCGGCAGCTCATCCACAATAATCTTCGGAAAGGACTCGCACAGATCCAATACAACTCCTCACGCCCTGTCGATCCTTGTGGGTCCCTTCCAACTCAGAATATTCTGTGATTCCTTCTTTTTGCTGCAAAACTCAGTTTACTAGCTCGGATCTGGTATCCCATTGCTCATGCATGGAGTGACAAGTACTTTGCTCCTGTGTGCTCTCTTCAGAGCACTCTGAGTTTTCTCCACTCCATGCATAGCATTCTCAGTCATGACTTACTTTTCCAGGCTGAAAAGTTCAGGTTTACCCAGTCACTCTATGAACAGGGTCCAAACCTCTTCACCAACTTTTATGCAATACTTCTAAACCTTCTAAGATGAGGGAAATGAGCTGCTGCACATGCACAATTCAAGGTGCAATTGGAACTCAGACTTAGGGAGCAGTACTCCAACTTACCCTGCTCTCCAATCCCTCCTCTCATTTCCTGATCTATGGTCCATTTTCTTTTTTGGACTGCACCTGGGAACCGAGCTGGAGTTACTCCTCAGAACATCCAATCAAGATATTCCAACCAAGTGGCAGCAGCCAGGAGAGCACCTACTTTACATATGAGGCTTAGCTCCATGTGTCAGATCTTGCACTAATTGAAAAAACTTCCCCTGGTAATTGAAGCTTGAAATACAAGAGCCTCTAAGCTACTATTTCTACATTCAAGCATAGGAGCACATAAACCTGACATCCTTTGGCCAGAAGGATTTTGTGGGTGACCACACAATCCTGCCTACCTGCATTTCCATTTTTTAAATACAGTGTCTAGAAAGAAATACTTCTAAAAACTATTTTTAAAGTAATTGTGCAGGTAAGATAAGTAATAGTTAAGGGAATCCCAACAAAAAGGGCTTTGTGCACACAACTCTCTAAAATTGAGTCTTAGGGGAGCATGTGATCTCACTGTGGTTCCTAGAAATTACTTGCAAGTCTTCACACAAAAGCCCACTGTTTCCCTTTGGAAAGTGTCACATATGATGTGAAGCATAACGAAAGGATGTTGCAATGTTATTTCTGAAGGAAGTTTAGACAATACCAAGTCAGAGGCCACAACACTTTCACATATATCCTGGTATTTCTCCCATTTTGATGAATATGTCAGGGGATGGTGCTACACATTTTTCTTGGGTTCTGCTCTGTGGTGTTTCTACCTCCAATTCCTCCCTGTGATGGATTTCTCAATGCAATAAACTACTTAGCTTTCTTGTTCCTGTTTACCCCTAAATCTTCTTCATAAAATAACCCTTGTTATCATACATACAAGAAATCTACAGGAAAAAAAGATTTAGACTTCGTCCAGATAAATTGCTCCCCCTTTTTTTTATCCCTCTTAGATTCAAGGAGAAACATTGTTTTCCCCTCCCCTTGTATCCTGTGTTAACATAAAAGATTTTCAACTGAAGTGGAAATACTTTACTGAAGTAATTGCATGTACAGACACATTTATCCTGGTTTGTTTTGGTGCAAGCTGACAAGAGCCAAGGCAGCCTGTGGGCTCCCTGGCAGAGAGGACTCCCCCAGGGGAGTGACGGGTGGTGCACTGAACAATACTGTGTGTGAATCAGCACCCCTGAGCTGTTGTGAGACTGGCAAATGCTACAGCTCAGCGTGGGCTGTAGTCAGGTACCATGTTCAGCAAGTGAGGTATTTTGTCTGCTGTGCTTGGTGTTGCTCAGGCCACATTTGCAGTAGTGCAAGTGGTTATGAATAATTTGGCAGGAGTTGAGAGGGGATCAAAAATTGTGAGGAGGTAAGAAGTGCAGTCATAAGCCAACACTTCAAGTGTGGAACATACCTGCTCTTCATTGCTCCAATGTTTCGCTTATTTATTCTTCCCATTTTGATACAGTACTCCTCACAACAGCAATGCAGATTAAGGGAATTAAGCACAAACAAAGTAAAAAAAAAAGCTAGATGGGGAATGATCTAACCAATTAAACCAATTCCCACTAAACAAGTTTTGTGCAGGCAATGTTCTCCTAAAATTCAAGTCTGGGTCTTATGGCTGGATCTGATGGCATGAAACCCATCTAGGCTGGGCTTTAACACGAGACCCTCCACCAAGCCAGAAATACAGGCTATGGGCTTGGACGGCAGATCAGGCCTCTGTTTTGCTTGGGTATTTGAGTTGTGGAAAATTTCATCCACAGACCCATCTTATCTCCATTATTACTATAAAAACATATTATTGATCTACATGTGAAAATGGAATGTGCTACTTCAAAACAAACTGGATTTTAGGAGAGAAATGATTTTTCCCTCTGTTAGACTTGTGAAATCTCTGGGAAAACAAACTGAAGTTCTGGCTAATTGTAACCAGGCTCTTGGGCTTTCAGACCCTCTCCAGAAAAGGCAAGTTGAAACAGCAATGCCAGTATCAACTGCTGAAGAAGCAGGAGCTTTAAAACTTCAATACTTATGTATTTTTTTCAACACATTTAGTGATCAGAAAAGTAAACAGAATAGCTGAACTAATAAGCTTTAAGTCAACATATTCATCTATCCAGTGTCTCTCTAAGACTCAAGAATTTGAAGTTATAAAGAAGGTGGGGGGAGGAAGCATATTTAATGGAATCAGATAATTTGAGGAAATGAAGCTTTAGAAAAATCACCAAGCCTGGGAACACTGAAAATAGAATTGTTAACTCCATGCAACTTCTGTTTTGGGCTAACTTCTGTTATGCAGTTGAAAATCTATGTACTGATAAAACAACCTACACACTCACCATCCCTGAGTTTATCTTGATCCCATGCTACGTGCCCCAGCCTGATACTCATAATTTACAAGTGATTAATCAGAAACCATTTCCCTGAGTTTACCCAGTAATTTTTCACTGGTCATGGAAGCACAGTCTGTAAACAGTTAAATGACGGTGAATTTTAAACATAAAGAGAGAACATTCTCTCTTGTTTCAGCAAGTAACTGTCTGGACAGTTCTCTGTCACAGCAATGTGAAACAACTGGCTAACCTAGCTGCTTTCTGACTACTGTAACTCCAAAAGGTTACTGAAGAAGAATAAAACAGTCAGTGCCCATCTTTTCTTCATTGTAATACTTGTTGCTTTACAGATATATCAGCCCTTACCCCGTGGTTTGTTGCAGTTTCTCAAATAAAGCAGAAAGACAGCAGGTTTCATTTAAGCCCTATGTTTATTCGGTTTGAACTCGAACTAGGATCATATTAAAAACAGATTACAAATCATTTAAGAGCTCTTAATGCTTGCCAAAACTAGCCTGTGGTTTTAAATGAGACGAAAGTCAAAGTAAATGAAAAGTAGCATTTAAGTCACTGCAGAGAAGTCATGTTATATAAAAACTACACAACATATTTGGCATTTCAAAAAGTATTCAACAGAATCCCATATACAAAGAGTACCCTTGGTGCATATGGATGGAAGGGAAGAATTTAGAATCTGAAGCCAGTTGTCTGAAATTCAAAGAAAAGCATTAGACTGGCAATACTAGGACATATTTAAACCTGTGCACAGAACTGCTACTGAAATGATTAAGATACCAGCAGAATCTGAGACATTTACAGACCCAGGTACCAGAACTTTTAACCACTTTGAATTTTGAAAAAAAAAACCTGCTTAAAATTTAATTCACATCGTAAAAATGTAGATCAGAGGAATTCAGTCCAGCAGATCACTTAAACCTTGCCTCAGCTTCAAGTTTGAAATTAAGTGCATACTCCAGTGATTTGACAGAGGGATTCGAGCCCACTCTTCAATGTTTAGATGGAGCAGTGTGACAGTGCAAGTGTTGTATGTTAACATTAAGATATATAGAAGCACTCAGGGCATTTGAATGGTAGGCATACAGTAGTTCCTCTAAGAGTTTTTTTTTGTAATGAAACACTGATTTGAGCTGTTTATGACTTTGTCAGAATTTAAGTAATCAGCTAGAATTTTTGATGGCAGGTGCCTGCTTCAGGCTAGGGCAAAATTCAGATGAAATTATTCGTGCTCTTCTGAAAAGGTAGTGGACAAAAAAAAAAAAAAGAAAAAAGAAAAAAAAATCACTGTTATTGCTCATGTTCCTGTGTTACAGCTTTCTGATTTCTTACTGTTACCTACTGAAGGAAAACACTCTGTGACAGAGCCTTGGACAGGTCTTGAAAATTGAAAGAATATGCTCCCCCTAACTGTCTGTAATGTTTTGCCTTTAATGCAAGAACTGCCCAAATTCAGAGAAGTTCCTAATTTCTGAAAACTGTCTGCCTGCCCTACAAGCAGAGGTGAGAATTTGTCAGTATAACTTTCACAGACTTTCTCACAACTGACAACATCAGTCACAAGCTTCAGGGACTGAGCTGGACCGGCACTGAAATGATCCTCTTCAGTGCAGTGGGCATCAGAGTTGAGAAGATGGAGAGATTCTTCTATATTCTCCATGCCCTCCAAGACAGTGTGTAAAGGAACATGGCTCTATTTACTTTGCAGTGAACATAACTTTGTCAGTACTATTGGGACTCTTTACAAGACCGAAACCACCAAAAGAAATGCAGTTCGATGTGTGATCAAGCGAGTCACTATCCCTGAAGGTATTTGAAAGATGTCTAGATAGGGCACTTGGGAACGTGTTTTAGTG